AGAATATTCAATAGAGTCTTTTGCTTAATCTAACCATTGAACCTGTTGACCAGTTTTCGGTGACCAGCTCATACTGCTTTTCTTAGGCTGATTTCCAGCACTGTCTAGCCCATATGCTAATGGATCATTCGGTTGTATGTTCGGATATTGACGTTCCACCCTCTCCGCGAAGAGGCAATGAGAATGATGGTTGGTACAAGAAATGCACTAGAAGCATTCTATGATACAAGAAGGTTCTTGACCCACTCTCAGTAGAACTGGGATTTTGCGAGCCTGAAAACAGTGACAGGACTGTGAATAAAATTCGAGAGAATACCGAAGGAATGTGCTACTTCATGGGTGTGCGAAGGAAAGTTTCGGTGTCCTACTGATTATTCACGAACAGGATGATGGCTAATGACTGTGCTCGTGTTTCGATATTGGCGATAAACCTGGATTCGTTCTGAGGTGTACCAGGTTTAATTAAACTTATTCCGTCGTGGTTGGCCGCAGCTCTTGCGTACCGTCTGTCTTGATTATTTCAACTAGGTTTGGTCAAATACGTTTCGAGGTTGACCGATTGAGTGCTAAACTGCTAGAAATACGTGATCCCATTCTAGCAGACGTCCTTCATTGTCTTGATTTGACGTGACTTGCTTTTAGCATACTCTTTGAATGGTATTGTCAGAAGTCTTCTCAAAGTGCACTTAGATTCACCCTTTTCGAGGGTTGAATTGCATGCGAATTTGTTGACGATCGAGTGTCAAGGGTAAACAATTTAACACGGATTGACCAGAATCAGTCTGCGATGATTGGATGATGAACTTTGACTATTAAGTCATTGTTTACAGTAGGTGGAAATTTCGAGCAACCTTCAATAAATCCACTTACTCTCACCACGCAGTCGGTTTTTTAACCCACTGGATGAGTTGTTCCAGCGCGCAAGCATGTTCATGGCTTCAATTCGGTTGATATTTTGTAGTCCAATACAAACCAGTTCACTGAAAAAAACTGCAGTCAAGAGGGAAGTGCCCAATAGTTCGACAACAAGGTTTTTTATTTAAACCTGCAATCAGTCTGAATTGGACACCGTTGTGATGACTCATTGTGCCGGGCGCATCTCGTTTGTTCACCAGGTGGCGCAACATCGGTCGTTGGGGAACAAAAGTTCTCAACATTCGTTGACCTCTGCTCATTCTGATCTGATTTGTTCATATGCCTGAATTTCGCTGGTCGTGGTATAAGACCTGTGTATCTTCGCCAAGTAATCGTCAGTCTTGATTGAATAATTACGGCAGGACATGAAGAACGACGAGGGTGTCCGTGGAAATACCACCTTACGTTAAGACCTGAGTAACGTCTGGTTTTGTCATGTCACAAAACTGAAAAGGAGCATCAATTATCCTTATTTTTTTTGGAGTCGTAGCCCGGGCCAAGTGTTTTCGTTCCCGACCTGAACGTTCGCCATTCGGGTACCTCCTGGGACACCAAAATATCACACATTGCAGGCGAGTCACTAGCGAAACTGTTCAGTACCCTTTTCCGATCATCAGTTTATTGTACCGTACATTGAATGCACTCGTGTATGGGGAAATTCAAAGCTTTCAATAACTCACAGCAAAACAAAACTATGCGGACCTTGATGTTTGTCATCTCCCAAGGGCGATTAAGGTAACTTCATCTTCATTTTCATATTTCATCGCAAATAGTCACAACATTGAAATGCCGAATAAATGTTCACGAGCCATCCAAATTTCGCTGGTATCCATTATGCGGTCCATGCTCTCAGAATTCATAGATCATCTTTAGGACAAAAGGGTGAAATAACTCGAGTCAATGATATCGATTTGTGCCACCTGTTTGCAATCTCAACCTTTTGCCGACCACGTGGTTACGTCAATGCAAACGGTGATTCAATTATGCTTCTGGTATGACAACTGAATGTGGTGTCAATGCAATGTAAAATTGTGGTCGCCATTACAGCGAACATGTGAGAGTTACATTTTGAATGGGATAGGAAGTAGATTTGGACGTATCCAATCCATCGTTGAACTGCGCTGGGCGTGTCCGTGATGTAAAAAGGATAATGTGTAAGAGGTGGCAACACTTCTTTCATGTGGTACTTTCCAGAGAAAGAAGATAGTTTTTTCATCGGCAGCATGGCTAACATGAATCACCGATATTTGTAGCTAGCTATGGATGATTTATACAGAGTGCTTGATTAAAGCTGACCGACTGCAGGATGGTAAATACTCCATTTAAGCAAGTTGGCAAGGTGTTGTTAGGCCCCAGAACCACGGATATGAACAGGCATCAACGGGGAAAAAATTAAACTGCTAAGCTAATGTGGCCGTGTTGGCATGCCATTAACAGGATAGAAACTCAAGTAGACGATTATCGACCATTGCTTCAGACATGTTGGGGATAGGGCGCTCTCAATTACAGCTGTGCCGAAGAAGACAAAGTTTAACTAGCTTCCCCCTTCTGCGCGAATGTGAAGAAAACGCAGGAGGCTGAGGAGGCTTCTGAGGCACAGTATTTCAACATTGTAGCAGTCATTACTACCTGACAAAAATCTACCATGTCTGTGTATAAGAGACTCGGTAGCGTAATAATTTCGTTTAGAAAACGCACTAGGTTTTATGGTATAGTTACTTTTGTACGTTTCACAGAAAAAAATCTCCCCACGATAGTATAGGTGCAACTTATGTTTCAACAATTCGCCTGAATGTAAAAATAATCAAAAATCTTCTCGTTCAAAATGTAATAAATTGCTC